AGCTGACAACCTTGGATTAGGAGTCAGGGAAGTGACATTTACACTGCTGCTTGAAGGGTTAGAAGGAGGACTTGGCTCAAAGAGAAAGCTAGCATGAAAGCCTAGAGGCAGAAAGAACATGGTAAGCTCTAGTAAGTGGAAGAGGGCCAGTCTGGTCAGAGTAGAAGGTGGAAGGCATAATATTGAAGAGAAATTATACATAGGGTCAGGTCATGAATAGGCTTGCATATTTCACATAAAAATATCTTTCGTCTTAACTGAAGTGGTAGAGGAACTCCGTATTTAAGGAGAGGTCGGATTTAGTCATGTAGACATGAAGAGTTGCTAGAGAGAAAAAAACCACTAGCAGTAGAAGGAGCAGCATAAGTGTACAAAGAGGGGGATGCTAGGAACTAAGAACCAGTGAGTAGTTAATTTTTTGCTGACAGAGAAGGTATGTGGTGATATAAGAAGCAATAGATAAAACACAAAGAACACAGAGGCCAGAAAAGCAAGGGCGTTGAAATCTGCGCAGAAGAGTTCTGACTTTGGTAAGTAGTTAAACATTCACCAACCTGTTAATAAGTAGAATAACGGACAAGAGTTTTTAAAGGTACTTACCCCACAGAGTTTGGATGGTAAGGATAAGGGAAGTGGTGGGGAAGAGGAAGAGAACAAGAGAGTGGGTGCTATGTAGCGTGTTCATGCAATGTAAAGGTGCTCGGGTTAACCTGAGGGAAAACATCATCCCTCAATGATACCCCCTTTTAATTCAATTGCAACGAAATAAAACCAGTTGTTTACAGGGGCCACGTTATGCCCATACAGACGCAGACACTTTTAGATTTTCCAGTGTTTCCCAAAGCTCTGAATATACCAGATACCTCTGATGGTGCACCGGGATTACTCAGGTGTAAGTATGGCTCTGTTATGGACCTCAGGCTCTCACAAGATGGAGGCCAGGAAAGTCACTCATCTGCGTGTCTTTCCTAACACCTCATGTGCAGGGAGCCCTTGTGAAATGCAGGCTTCTTTCCGCAGTTGCTTAGGTTGTTTGGAACCTAAAGCACCTCAGATTAAGGGATTTTAACTCCTTTGGGACTTGACAGGACTTGTAAACAGAAGCTTTTGAGGCAGGAGCAGGCAGCACAGAGTCCCACACAAACAGTACAAAAATCTTATCTTTATTTAAAGAGAGTGAAATAGACTCTCCATTTTATCACTACACATTTATCTATTTTTTTTCCCTATTTCAAGAAAAAAAGGAGCATTTAGTTGCTTGTTTCCCTGTCAGTTTTTCTTCCCAAATTTCTTCAGCTCCAATGTAAGTCAAGTAACCTATTAAAACAAAACAAAATAAAACAACAACAACAACAACAAACCCTACAGTCAGATGGCAGACCAGAAAAGTCATCTACTTTAAAGGTCCTGAAGCTGGAGTCCTGGAAAAATTTACATGAATGAGTTGACAAAAAAATGGATTCAGTAAAATTCTATGCAAAACCTTGTGGGCAGTTATGAACATATATTTTTTCCACAATTTTAGCAATTCTGAGTTTGTTTCTCCTATTGGAAATTGAACCCAGAGTCTTTACACTGAATTACTTTCCCAGTTATTTAAAAATATTTTTTGTGGGGGTACACAGCCAAGTTGCCCAGGCTCAGCTCAGACTTGTTCTCCTGCTTTAGCCTGCCACAGTGGTGGTATGAAGGTGTGAGCCACCCTGCCCACCCAAATGGTGAAGTTCTTAAAATGAACTGGGGTCCTAAAATAGTGCATATTTTTATTGAGTCCACAGTACTATATATGAGTGGTATGTTATAAGACATCCAATTTAAAAAATGCTCTTTAGAAAGGTCCTATTTGAATAGCATCCCAAGATCTACAGACAGTAAGTTCTTTCTTAAGTCTACCCTAATGTGCTGGCAACTTGTGCCCATGAAAGCCCTTGGTAAATTCAGTGGAAATAGTTAGCAGCTGCTCACCGACACCCACCCCAAAGAAAGAACAAGACATTTTTCACATATCTCAAGATGGCTTAAATGTTCTTTCTTTGGCAAAGGAGAAAAAAAAGAAATATATTTTTGGCCTCTAAACCTTTTCCCACCCATGTGTATTTCTGCAGAAATGTTATCCATATGGTTCTGATTGCTTTCTTCATAAGTCATTAGGAATGCTTTGCACTAGGAACTTTTCTGATGACCAAGGAGTCTTTGGAGACATTTTTAAATGGCCCTCTTAGCCTTTTTTCATAGAAACAGGGAAGCTAAACAGAGCCAAATGCAAATGAACTAAGTCCTAGAAAGGTTGGAGTTTTATTCAAAACTCAGAAACCATAAGGCTCTGGTGAGCTTTAAATCTGTCTGTGCAATGCTTTCGCCTCCTCCTCCAGGGAAACAGCTACTAAATCCTCCTTTGACATGGATTATGCAAAGGCCCCAGGCACTTAAATTCATATTTAAGGTTATATACAGGGACTCCATTAAATATCAAGATCATCCACTCATACCAGGGTTTCCCAATTATTATGCAAAAATGGGGTAGTATTACCCATCACATATCTTACAGTATTTGAGATATATAAACAATATTACAAGGATCATTCCAAAAGAAATACATGGTTCATGGTAAAAGTTCAGCAATTTTCTCTATTTCTCTTTCTAACAGTGTTTGGAAACAAAAAGGTTCTGTATTTCCCAAGAGCAATACAGACTGTACGGTAAGAAGGAGGGGGAAACACAGGAAAATGTTCCATAGAGATAATTTACTTCTTTTGAAGGAATCTGGACCACCACCTATCTTGGAAGACTAATACAAGGAAAGAGCTAAGAAGAGGAATGGGGTTGTATCTTGATTTTCGTCTAAAGCTGCCTGAGTAGGATGTCTGCGACTGATTTCAGGATTGCAACACCAGCTAGGCTGCCTGTTGCCCTACTACAGCTCAAGGAAGCAGCTCTGAGCTGGGGGATGATGAATAAACAGAGATAATGGGAGGGAAAAATGAAGGGAAGGGTGTGGTACACGCAGATAAGAGAAGGAAGGAGAGAAAAGAAAGGCGGAAGATGATAAGAGAGCAACCTGGGGCTTCACCCCCTCATGGATGGGAAATGAAGGTGTGTGTGAAACTATTTATTCATAGTTGAAGTCAAAGTCAGAGTTTCCTCAAGAACTACTCGCCAAGATCTGAACCTGGACCACAAGCCAAGCGAAAGAAAAGTTGTCCAGTAGAAAGGAAGTTTCCAGCAGGCAGAAATAGAAATCTCTGGGCTGGTCAGTGGCCAGTGGGCTATCCATGGTGCTGACTTTTTCTCTTTTAGAGTGACGAAGTAAAGCACCTCTGAACTGATGGCCTCTTCCCTCTTTCTCTTCTCACTCCTGCCTTCTGGAGGCCCCGCTCATTCTGTATAGCTCTATCTCCCGTTTTCTCCAGCCTTCCCATTAAATTACATTGATTTTGCCAACCTCCCAGTCCATCACTCAAGTATTTCTTCTCCATTTCGCTCCAAGACTCTTCTTCCTCCAACCAGTTCACTAGCTCCTACACCTGCCTAGGCCTTCCTTCTGGTCACATCTCTCTCATATCACACTTTGTGGGATTAAAACACTAAACACTAATTACAGTAGGAATCATAAGAGCAGATAACATACACCGAACATTCACTAGATGGAAAGGATTACCTTAAGTGCTTTTATATACAATAAATCACTTAAATTCCACATCAACCTTACCGAACAGGTAGTTACATTACCCTACTGCACAAATGAGAAATTGAGGCTTCTGGGTAAGTCATTTTACAAGATCACACAGCTACAGGATTCTAGCCCCTCCAGAGCCCGTACTTTCTCTGTGTTCCTTTAAATCTTTCAACACTTTTTTGGTGTGGCTTCCCGCCCCAGAATCTGGTAGCTTTACCGGTGCTTCCTACCCTGGCCTTATCTTTAAGGTACTAGAAATCTGCATCATGGATGTGGTTTTAAGTCACAACAGAAGCAGAGGACTTAGGAATAGAGAAATTGCAAAATGTGGAATTTCCATCCCTCGAGGGCCGTCTGGTGAGATTCAGGGGAGGCCCAGCGTCGGCAGCTCCAGGCGTCACCTCAGGTTGAACAGAGACTTGGACGCTGGATTCACGTCTTGGTGCCCACGCGCCCTCGCGTCTTCCCTGCCTGGTTTCTGGTGGTCTCTGGAGAACTTTGCGCTCTCCTCAGCTTCCCACTCCCATCTCCTGCCCACGCAGAGAAGCGCTCGCTTAATTCTAGGAGGTTACGCGGGTTCCCGCCTACACAGAGAGAAACTGTCTCAGACACCCACAGAGACACACGGACACGACCGGACGCACACGAGCACCTCCCGGGACGAAACCCTCACTCGGGCAGACGCACGCGCCACCCAGGCACCGCGTACTGAGAAGCACTAAGGTCCTGGCTACGTGCAAGCTCTAGACAAGCACTACAGCGCGATCCGGGAGGCGCGCACAGACAGGTCCCCGGGTGCCCGGGCTCAAACGGCGCCGCCGCCCCAACCCAGACCCAAGGGACCCC